TTTTTTATAAAAAAAAAACTTCAAACCCAAAACAGGAAGAACCAGAATGAGAAGAAAATGAGACGAAGGGATTGAGTGATGAAAGTTCAAGGAGTAACCATACTAACCTGAGCGAAAGATTCTTCAAAATTTGAACAATTAAGACAAGAGCGAGGAAGTTTGAGACGAAGGAAATATTTGGTTGCGATGGCCGTGTTCCCATCTCTTCGGGATAAATAAAGTTCAGTGGCAACTCTGTTGAACCGCATGCCACGCCTTTAGTGCGAGGGTCGTTTCTCCGAATTATCTCTCATATGATTTTTTGAGGTGCGACATGGACACACGGTTTATCTCACAACTCATCGTGAATGCATGCATGCAACATATTATACATGCAACAACAACATCAAGTACAACAACCAATACCTTCATAGTCAATGTACTCCATCAATCATGACCATCATACACCGGCACAACATGCTATAACAGTCCAACAACATCAACACACAACATAACAAGCAACAATGAATTCATATACGGTTATGTCACACCACAACATAAACATTACAATGCATTTCAGACCATCACACAACAATCATTTGGTTTTTGGTACAGAAAAACATTTTTAGAATAAACTTCGCCACGTCAGCTTCCCGATGCTTCGAACAACACCTAAATCAGACACCCATAACTAAAGTTATGAATTTTTAAAGATTTTTCAAAACAGCATTCAATGTAACCGGTTACTCCAAATGAAGTAACCGGTTACATTCCTTATAGCCAGCCATCCTTCGCCACTATTTTATGGTGTAATCGGTTACCACAATCAAGGTAACCAGTTACACCCTCACATAATGCCCAAAGAACGCAACACAAACACAGTGTAATCGGTTACCATAAACAAGGTAACCGATTACACCCTCACAAAATGTCCAGAAATTCATTTTTAAAAGCAGCGTAACTGGTTACACCATATCTAGTAACTGATTACACTGTACTCATAAGCACTTTTCTACAACTTTTTAAAACGAAAATCACATATAATCCAACCAAAAACTCCATTTTTCTTACAAATCAATTGTGCTACATTTTACTACGAAAATTCACTTTTCAAAGGTTTCAAACCCCAATTTTCTCCCCAAAAATGCTCATAACATGGTTCCGACTCTGACTCGCGACCATACACAACAATATAACATCAACATCATACAACCATGTCAATTATATGATTCCAACAACAACAAATACAACAATTCACCATTCCAACATCAGTCACAACATCAACATACCACACGCAATTCATCAAGCAATTAATTAATGCAACAATTACCAATTATCACAATGATCATGAACAATGAACAGAGAGAAGAAAAACACTAACCATACATGGCATAATCTATCCACCATCATCATATTAATCCTTAGGTGCAATCAATCCTTGTGTTGGGGCAGTTCATACGGAGCTTTGCTCTGTCTTTAAACGGGACCCCGCTAGTGGACGGTGAGATTGATACTCTTGGATTAGTCGGTCGCATGGCCAAATACTAAGATTTCAAAATAAATCATATTAACCCTTAGATAATTAGAACTCCGCCCTTACCTTAGAGTTCTTAGAAAAACTTCTTCTACTTCAACAATGAATTCTTTTCTTCTTCCCAACTCTCCCTTCCTTGCCATAACTCTCTTTTCAAACTTTTCTCTTGTTTTACATATCTGACAGCTTCTAATTCTCAACTTCTTTTATTTCTTATTATTATTATTATATTATTATTATTATTATTATATTATTATTATTATTATTATTATTATTATCTAATTCAACTAATTAAAATAATAACAATAATAATAAAAATACTAATTATTTAATCTAAATAATATTTATCTTATATTATTTAAATAAATAGTTACTAACTAATATAATTTAATTAGTTTTACTCACCATTTTATCAATCTCTACTCAATTACTCTCACACACCCCCAACATTTTAATGTCTATTTTTAAGAGCACTATTCCATATCAAAGTAGCTCAAACACAAATAATACAACACAGTTACAATAACACATAATTAAATTTAAAAATAAATAAATAAAATAAATCGGAACGTTGCAGGTTCCATTAGCTTCAAGGTTAAAAATGAAATGTCGTGGATGACTATTTCAGACTAGTGAATTAAATATATTGAAGATGTTGGATTATGTTCCATACCAATGTCATTTCCTATGAAAAGTTGCTCGGGGAGGAGAAGAAATTGAGAACTAGTTTTGAAAGGTTGAAGAAAAATTATAAGGATGGCACCAAGAATGCTAGTGTTAAAATCACAAGTTTCGCGTGACCTTTTTGCCATATGTACCTATCCAAATTGAAGATTTGCTTAGTTCTACGTATCATTTTCCACTAGATTTATCCATGGTTGTAAAAAATGTACTAAGTTGAGAAGTATTATAAGAGTAAACTCCTCTGGCTCTAAATTCGATTGCTTGCTAGTTTTGATTATTTATTTTGATGGATAAACAAATAGAATTTAATAAGTTGTTTCCTATTAGTGTAAACAATTAGCCCCTCATATGTATTTTAGACCTTTCTTCCCTTATGCTACAATGCTATCATTTGCCTATATCTAAATCTAATCAAACAAAAGTGCTTTTGCATTGCTCCTTCCCATTAATACACCTTTTGCTCTTATTTTGTACGAGTGAAATTAAAATTTACTAAAGAATTACATGCGCATTCTGGAATCCCGTCCGTATGTCCTCCATCAATGTTTGCTTAGTTGATATCCACGTGTATATTTGTACAAATACCATTGCTATTTAAATTTTGCATGTAGATCCAGAATATTTTATTCATGAAAGCATTGTCTTAGATGAATCTTTGAGTATAATTGTTTACCAAATGCTACCTTCTTAATTGCTGTGTTCACTATAATGTTAGGTTAACAACTTGAGTCCAAAATAACTAGAAGTTAGAGCTGTTAAGCCTCAATTGCCAAATATAAACAGACAAAATGACACTATCGTGAATTGTATAACATTCTCGGGAATTGTAGTAAGTGCACACAACAAAGTGGTCTCTGTCTTTTCTTAACCAGCATACTAGTACACTCTTTATTATATACATTTCAATATTTTATTTATTTACTGTTTATGCTTATAATTTAATTATTTAGCTTCATTTCTTTGCATTATTTTCTTAACAATGTTTTACTATTCGTGCATTCTATAAAATTCTATAAAATACAGACTCGGACACGGATATTAGTTATTATTTCTATAAAACACAGATTCGGACACGGATATTAGTTATCACTCCTATAAAACACGGACTCAGACATGAATATTAATTATGGTTCGGTCACTTGACGAATGTGTTTAATAAATATTAACTCAACAATTTATTATGCTAAAGTATGTACTAAAACATCATATTGGCGTGTATGACACGCACGAGACACTAATGCTTAAGAAATTTGACCGACATATGTCTAAAACGTGTATTAAGCGTCAGTGTCTTATGTATATTATACACGTCAATATGACACTTTAGAGAGATGTTCGTTCATCATTGCGTTATAGAGGAAATTGACTTCAATGTGGTTAACATCATCATACATTCACGTATTCAGAATATTGGTGACCGTTCGATTGTGACTTGATTGTTAAGAAAAAAATATTTTATGTTTTATACTAAATTTAGAATATTAAATTTAAATTTAAACCGTGCGATCTTGATCTAACGGTTTTCAATGCTCCAAATGCGTGAATATCATCGTCCCTATAGTAGGACTCATTTCTAGCTCAGATCAGAATATTTCAATCATAAAAACATGACTGCTTACTAACATATCATAGCAATTTAAATAGAAAAAAATGACAAAGAAGAAGTGTTAGTTCCTATTTTGGAAAGACAATTACCAAAGACAAAAATAACACAAGAGAAGCCAATTTTCCTCCCCTTTTGTTGGTCATAACTTGTCTTTCCAAACTTGTCAATCTAGTGGATTTGTTGTCTTTTAGTTTATGTTTGCATATCTTAAAAAGAAGATTTTCTAGAAACCTAGTCCACCTAACTAAGTATCTATGTCAGTCTCTATTCTGATCACAACCGTCCAACAGTATTCAAACAATGTGTAACTTTGACTTTCACATCCTCTCCCACTATACTCCCTCATATATTTAATCAAATATTTAACAACTTTAAACCATTCTTTTTGAACTTTACCAGACAACCACTTCTTTTAAAATTAAAATTTAGCACAACTCACATGTCTTCATGGAACTCAATTTCTCTCATAAGCGTGTTCAATTGTTCATGCACCATAAAGCATAAGACATTAAAAGTTGGTAACTACACAAATGCATACAAAAAAATTTTCTTATATAATACTAAAAAAACAACGTTGTATCTATATTTTTATAGCATAAACTACGTACGTCCACGTGCACCGACGGATATTCATTTAAAGTCAGAGTAAAATTCTGTATAAATTGATCTAACACAAAAATTATTTACATCTAACAGAATTCAAACCAGAAACAGAAGAAGCACGCGTCTCAAGCCTTCATCAATAGGACAACCCTTAGGATTAAATTAGATACATATTTAACAAATGTTAGAGACACATATGCATTGTCTGGTCCAAGACCAAAACGTTGAATAGTGACTGCTTTCACGCATGTCTTTGTCTTTATATTACTTTATTATTAACAAGCACAAAAAACCAGGCTAAATCAAAACCCGCATATATAGTTAAATCTCACTCACATTCTCTAATAAAATTCAAAGAAAACAGAAATTTTGAATTATAATATATTGAGCTAATCTATAATATTAACAAAAGCAATACCAAAAAAGTGGTAAAAAACAAAGATATAGTCACTAGATTATTCACTATGGTATTATAAATGCACACGGACTGAGATCTTTATGGTTCAGACTTCAGAAAAACTCTGAGGTAAAGTTTCTAAGTTCAGACACAAGCACAGAAAGAATCATTGAGAGAGTGTGTGTGTGTGTGAAAACATGGATGAGAGAAGCATGTCAGGCTTTTGTATTAGAACTGGAAGCTGTGTTCGTAGTGGCAGTACCACTTCTGGCACAAAATGTGGGCGTTGGAATCCAACTAACGAACAAGTTAAGGTTCTGACTGAACTTTTCAGTTCAGGACTTCGAACTCCAAGCACTGATCAGATTCAGAAAATCTCTACTCAGCTTAGTTTTTACGGCAAGATTGAGAGCAAAAATGTTTTCTATTGGTTTCAAAATCATAAGGCTAGGGAAAGACAGAAGCGTCGTCGAAAGGTTTCGTCCTCAGATGATGATGACGATAACAGTATTCGTCGAGAAAATACTACGTCCAGAAATTCTTCTTCACCAAGTAAGTATCTCTGCAAACGCTCTTTTCGCTTACCATGATAATTCCTGGAACCCAACTCGCCTAAATTTTATGGTTTAATATTTTTCTAACCATTTTTTTTTACTAGATTTTGCTCAGCTATATCAGGTTTCTGAGCCTAAGAGGGTGATTGAGACACTTGAGCTTTTTCCCTTGAACTCATTTGGTGAATCAGGATCAAAGAATTTGAGGAACTATACAAATGAATGCAGGGATAGTAGTAATAATAATATGTTTTCATACACAATGAGGGAACAAATGGATCATCCACCATTAGATCTATGTTTAAGTTTTATGTAATCTTTTTTTGTGGTGGAGGTAATGGTGGTTGGAAATTGGAATCAAATAAATATATTATTGTTAGGTTTTAGTAGCATTTTAGAAAAGAAAATTTAGGTTGTGTATGTGTTTTCAAATTAATTTAATCGTATTACCTAGTTGATTATATTAGTTTCTGTGATAAATATTGGACATTCTTCTCTGCATGTGGGTATACTCTGTTGGATTATCTATATTAATTTTGAATACTTGGGATTCTGACTCACACGAGAGATGTTCCCTTGAAATTAATGCATAAAGGATATATGCCATACATTGTAAATGAGTCATGTCTTGGGTCTGCTCCACTCTTTGAATATCATGAACCATTTACACACACATAGGAATATACTAGTGTAAAAAAATGTACCAAACCAGGTTGGAAGTTTTATAATTGATTGTCATCTAGAACTAATCCAAATTATAGTTTTATTAGTCTTATCTAAAACTAGTGTGTCATATAAAACTAATCCAAATTATAATATTGGTATTCTTATTCAAAACTAGTGGCATCGCTCTGATTAGCATGCGATACCACGGAGCTGGTCACATACAAGTGCACGCCAAATATAAGATAGCCAAATATAAGATAGTATATGTTGAAATAGAGTAGAGAGAACATACAAGTGCACGCCAAATATAAGATAGTATATGTTGAAATAGAGTAGAGAGAAATCTTTAAAAATTTTGTTCATGCAGTTGTCCAAATTATATATAATTGTGATTAGAGAGCAATTATAGTTCTATCTTATTGATTTGTTTTGAATTTCACATATTAGAGTTTCAATGTTACAAACATATATAGGGATATTAATGATTCATATTTTAATATTGTGGGAGCAAGTGTCGTGGCTGCAACGGGCCCTACCTCTTACCCACTTGACATTACCTTCAAGTCAAACTCAACATTATATAATCAGGATTTTAATGGTTAGCATTTAGAATATATTGTATTTTAGTAATTAAAGTAGATGACTATAAATACCTTGGCACTGAAGTCACTGAAACTCTTAGGAACATTAAACCCAAAGACAACTTTCTAGTTGTTGGACCCTTTTGGCTCTTTCAATTGTTACTTAATGTCACTTTTGAAACCTCATTAAAGTTTGATCGTCCTGATGATAGCGACCCAACTATCAGCAGTAGAAGTAGTGTAGGTGTTCGACTGAATATGCTAACTCCTACTAACAAGAGCAGAGTGAATCAGAACCCTTTTGCCTCTTACTTGTTGATGTTTTTTGAACCTCACAATTTTATCTTGACCATGGCTCCCTTTGCAAAAAGAACTCACAGTCCACAATGGTTCATTCGGCCACTTTCGAGAACTGGCGACAAGGAAACAGAAAAGGAAACCAAAAAGATTTGGTCATCCTTCTTGGCGCATAAGCTCTTCTCTTTTCGAATTGAGCCCATCAAAGAACATGTGAGAATCCTCACCTACCTATCCAACCTGGTATCATGCCAGTTTGGGATTAGCCAAACTATCCCCCATCCATTTTTCATGAAGAAAAGTGAGTTGTGCCTTAGCACTGTCAACTATTCTATAGATGATTGGCTGCAACGCCTTACTCGACATGTTAATGGTAGACCTCAACTCAACCTCCTCAACTTCGAGCCTAACTATTATTGTACTTCAGCTTTTGATACTTGGTGGAAAGGTTATTACACTCAAGAATTCATGGACACTGCCACCACACGAAAACATCTTATTAACGCATTTTCTTCTTTGTAGAAAAAATTTGAAAAAGGTAGATCGACACATATAAAAGAAATATAAGCCTTCCAAAAGTACTTTGAAACTGTATATGACCCAAATGATTTTAGACGGATGATCAGTGAGGCGGCTAAAACTCTTAAAGACAAATGTTTGGCGAAGCTTCCAGATCTGAAATTCTCTGCCTATGTCACAGACAAATATAGCTTCACTCTCACATTTTATACTCCAAAATTTCCCCCTCTACCAACCAGCGACATGGCTCTTACCTTCACTCCTCTGTTTTCGCAATTGTTCGTCTACAGGGAATTTTTAAAACTACACAAGAATGAATGTCTAAAGCTTGCGCAGCGTGTGACTCCGACTAAGCTGGATCTATATTGTTTCAAAGGTCACCTTCATATCGACATTGATAATGTCAGGGTCGAAACCCCCGTACATGAGGGTGAGAAGCGTAAAGACCTCTTTTTAATCTTATTTGCCACCTAACTTTACAACTTCTAACTCGTGGGCTTGTCGATTTTTTCTTCTCTTAATCATATATCTAGCAAACAAGAAAAGGACCAGAGAAGTTGTCAGAGTTGAGGCGTTACTTAACCAATCTAAGGCTGAAGGGACCTCATCTAAACCTACTCAAGTATGAGTCACAACCATAACTGCCTATGGTATTTCACTACTCTCACTTTTATGTTTATTCATATTCTTTTTTCCTATTCGTCATGCAGGTTGATAGTAACACTGCAAACGGTGCGTCTGCGTTGTGACTACTGATCTAGCCCAAGCAAACGACTTTTTCCTAGATCCATCCCCTCATAAAAAAAGGTTAAAAGTACTAGGGCAAAAAAATCCCAACCAGTCCAAGAGTGGATCATATTCCCAAAACAAAACCCGGGAAGAAGATTGCTACTGGCAATGTAGTGAAGGTCACACCAGCGACCAAAAAGCTAGCGTCAAATGAGAGCGCCAATTCTAGCCCTGACGGAGAAACCCTAAAGGTACTTATAATTTTAAGTTGCTTATTTCTCTTTTTGCTTAGTATATTAATAAGTACCTTGTCTTTGCATGATAAACTGACAACCCAAACTAAGGCGGCTTCAACTGCGAAGCCTGCACCTTCCAGCAGTTCTCCAATTCTACAACCTTCTACCATTGAAGTCATTCTGGATGAAGTTAAAAAAACTCGTCGATGACAACACTTCTCATCAGTCCACCAGCAAGTTATCCCTTATTGACTCATCCTTCTCGATATCATCTGAATAAGGCCATGACCGTATGGACCTAGAGCAACATTTCCTAGAAACCAACCCTAACAATGAACAACCTTTATCAACTGCTGACAAAACTCAACCAGAGCAAGAAACACAGGTTCTCTAAGAGACTACTGATATGTTGCAATGTGACAAGGATCCTGATTCCAAGACTGCCCCTAATGTTGAGAAAGAGACGCAAGATGGCTCAAATGTTGAGAAGACTGCTCCAACAATTACTCCCCTTTCACAGGAAGAATTATACGCACTGGAGACAAGAAATCCCAGGGCTTATGTGAAAATGATCTTGAAAAGCAAAAGTAGTTCCACCGAAAAAGGTTCAAGCTCCTCAACCGTGTCTGGCGACACCTCTAGCCCTGAGTCCCTTAATTATGTACTTAAACAATTGAATGCTCTTGTTGGGGACATTGACCTCTTTGTGAATTTAGAGAAGGACTTCATCTATGGATATGGCGTAAAGTCTCTCTTAAAGAAGCTGGATGTTCCTGATGCCCCTGTTAAAGTTGTCAATTTCCTAGTTGCTTTTGGTCCCCTTTTCAACCAGATGCAAGTTGATTATTAACGTCGACATGACCTTAAAGCTAAGATAGCCACTAAAAGATCCAGAGTCTAGAAGTTGGCCAGCGAGTTAGATCAACGTGCAAAGGAGCTAGAGGAAAGTCTTCGCCTAGAGAATAATGATATTACTGCCTTAGACAAACAGATTGCTAAGTGGAAGGAAAAAGTGGAGGTGCAACAAAAGAAAATACAGGATGCTGAAATTGAGAAGACCAATTTGCGAAAAATTTAGTCAACTACAATTGGACGAAGAGACTCAGAAAAGTATCCAATACTTAGAGACAATCATAGCCCTTGACGTCAAGCTTTACACTTACAACTCGACCCTTTCACAAATTGATCGTCGACTTTGCTTAGCCAAACTCCAATATGAGCGTCTCAAACCATATTTCCCTTTCTAAGATAGTAATTTTATCAACTTCTGTTTATTTATTTTCTGCCGTCTGTGGTGATGATTTCCCTTTCATGTAATCTTTCAACTATGCCTTTAAGGCACTTTCGACTATGATAAAGGCTATCAATTTCGAAGCCTTCTTAACTTCTTGAATTTATTTATTACTCTGCATCTATATGTATTTCCTACAAAGTAGGCCGATTCGATTTCAACTACATGCCAGTTATCTGCAGGGTTCGACCTTTCAAGGCCAATTCTTCAATTTCATATGCATTGTTGAAAAATACTTATAAGACCTTAAATGGTCCTTCCCAGTTTGGGGACCATTTTCCCAACAACCTGTCCCTTCAATCCATAGGCAATATAACCTTCCAGGCTAGGTCATCTTTATTAAAGGCTTTAGGTTTCACCTTTTTGCTGTAAGCTTTAGTGACTCTCTCTTTTTGTCTCATTAAAACATCAAACATTGTTAGTCTATCATCGTCCAACTGCGCCAACTTGTCGAACATCATTCCCCAATAAAATTCAGTTGGGATCTCAGACTGTCTTTGAATCCTAACTGATTGCAGGTAGATTTTCATATGCAATACTGCGTTGTGCCCATATACCATTCGGAAGGGTGTGGAGTTAGTCGATTCTTTGGGAGAGTCGTGACATGCCCACAAAACTTGGTTTAGAGTTTTATGCCAATTCATAGGCTTTTTCCCAACATGTTTCTTAATCAGCGCAATCAATATCTTATTGGCCGCTTTGACTCGACCATTATTCTGAGTGCAATATGGTGTCGAAGTCAATAGTTTGAATCCTATTATGGAAGCAAACTCTGTCATTTTGTGCTATATGAATACTTAACCTTGACCACTCGTAATGGTTTTAAGTATTTTGAACCTGTATATGACATGGTTCTAGATGAAACTCATTATGTTTTCCTGATAGATGTTGCGTAGAGGTATGGCTTTTATCCACTTAGTAAAATAATCTATTCCCACCAAAATATACTTATGTCCTTTTGATGAAGAGGGTTTAATCACAGTGTTAGCTCTCAATT